CCCCAAAACCCCAAAACCCCGCTTTTCCAATTGAACATACTTTCCTGTAAAATAAAATCAATAAATACTAAAATCTATTCTCATAGTATTTTAGTAAAATTTGTTAGAATAATGATCAATAGCATTAGATCTGACAAGTGCTTTAAACTTTGGTAGTGATTAAATCTCATCACTTCTTAGCTACAAATAGGTTTAACTTTTGAAAGCAATTTCATATTCAAATTCGTTTGGTTCATTATCAATACCTGAGAAAAATGCATCAAATGGGAACATTGATGATATCTCTAATACATATTTTTAACCTTGAGAGAGATTTTCTTGAAATTAGAAGTATAGATACTAAGTTCCATTCAATTTGTAGGTTTGATGCTGGTTATCTTATAACTCAAATAGCTTACTATAGCAATCTGCACCAGTATAACCTTCATTGCACTTGCATTTTCCAGTGGTTTTTTCATCACAAACTCCATTTTATGAACATTAATTCATATATCCACACATAATCTTGCTTTAAAGACAATCATCTTAATTAGATTTGTGGCAGATAAGTTTTTAGCTTTAAAAGTAATCAGAAATTATTTGCTTTGTTATTTCAAGCTACTGAGTTGGGACGAAATGACCCGATTTAGGGATTGTTAAAAAAGTAAATTTAGCTTTCTCGTCTGACCTATAATAGCCAGCGACTTGGTAATCTTCGTTAGCACCTTTAACAAAGTATATTTTTCTTGCTAAATTCCAATAATCTAAGAAAACAGTTTTCATGTTTTTTATCCATATGTCATGAATTGCAGGACCACACCCTTAATCCCATTCACCAGCAAAAATTATAACGTTGATATCTGCAGAAAGGACATCATCTATTATGCTAGTGTAATCAACCATTACTTCATAATTATATGCTTGAGCTACAGCATCAGATTAAGGCTCGTAAATAGGAACCTTTGTACTTTTTTCGATATGAAGAGCCATATATAATTCTTAAACTCTGTTTGATTTTTGCAAAAAATCATAAACTACTTATTCAACTGGACTCCAGTCATAGATGAAGATTCTAGAATCATATTTAAATACTCCTCCTGCAATATCGTTAATGTAAGTCATTGTTTATTCGCAAGTGTTTAAAGCTCCTTCCCAATCCTTAGTTATTTCCTCTTCACATTTTTATCTCAAAACAGCGACTTAATCAGCATTTTAATCGTCAAATAATCCAATTGCCTTACCAAGCTTGTAAGTATTCTAACTATTAATCATAGGAGCTAAATATGGATTACCTATGAATAAAGAGTCTAATTGTATTTTTAAATCTAGCGATTACTAATTAAACTCGTTAATATATTTAGCAAATAATGGTATATATTTTCCTGAATAACTTTCCCCTGCTATATAAAATTTCCTCCCATTTGGTTTTTACTAATATTCTGGATATTTGACCATGAAATTTTTTATAAATTCTATGAATTCCTATGCACCATCATCCATTCTATCTAATATACTATCTCCAAATGAAAATCCTACACCAACTGGTTGATCAAGGTATAAAACATCTGCTAAATCTACCCATGATCCTCTTTTGCTTAACTATACTATAAAATCATCAGTTGGATTGTTTGATTAATGAGAAATTCTTTTAACTTCAATTGGCCCGTTTTCGAGAAATAATCCAAACATACTAGAAGATCCAGGTCCTCCGTTAATCCAAAGAATTAGATTAGGGTTATCAAGAGTTGTATTTTTAAAAAGCCAATAAAACAAATTGTGATCCTTATCAGGTTTAATTTAAGATTTCAATGTTCCCGCGTACATGCAAGGTAGCTAGTCATTCTAGTTCCAGTACGGCAAAGAAGTTATAGAATGTTCATTTTGTTAGCATTCTTAGCCAATTTATAACTTTGATTTCTCATTCGACTTAAAAATATCAAACTTATCATATTTCGTCTAAGTTATTTTGATCATTGAGATTAATATCAAAATGAGATATTTATCCATTTTAGTAGTTATGAAATTAAGATATTAATTATTAAAATAGCACTCATTTTTCATTACTGAAATAAGGATACAATTTATGCTTTGTCTCATTGACATAACTCTGGTAGCACTCAAGACAAACCATTATAACTTTATTAATTGTGCTGTCACAATTATCATATATAATTGAGAGCACAGCAAATTTGATATCACAAATCTCACAGTTTAATCTCACATTTTTACTTTAGTAGGTCTATACAATACCTTAGCACTCTTATTGTTCCAAAATATTGTCCAAAAGCTGGTCGTGTATTCTTAGTTCGTGAAAAATAAATATGTGGTCGCAGCTTTGGTTATGCCTGAATAAATATGGAAATCCTATTTTCAAATTTAGCTCACTAAGTTTGATATCAGACGAATTTATCTCATACTATGGTGAGTCTTCTGCTAGATTTTTAGAAATGTATTCTTTAATCACTTTTACCTTTTGATTCTGACAATAGATCACATCATTAATGAGGAAAAAGCTTATATCTCTAATTTCTTGATTTTAATAAATCTACTCATCCCCAACACAAAATACTCTTTAAGCGATATCATTTAAGGTGATTTTATCTGGCAAGAACTTATACTCGTATTCTTTAGTGCAATATACTTGACTATAAAAGACTATTTTCATTACAGATTTTAAGTTTTAATCAGACTCTTGAGATTAGTCAATTTCCATTTATTCATTATCTGTTTCTTTATTTACTGCCACATTACTAAGGCCTAAATAATTTCTCTCGTCCATTTACTTCATTCTCTTTTTGTTGTGAACTAAATCCAAGAATAGTTAGTAGGATTGAAGTTGATTGTCTTTCAATAGCACAGGCTAATCTTAAGCATCAAATTGATCAGGCGAAATATCGATTGTTCCCATTAATTCATAAACTTTATCAACTCTTTATCTTCTCTCTTATCTAGATTAACCAGTGAAGTAATTTGTTTTCGGTATTTGATTATTCAACTCGAATTCTCTTGTATGCTCCTCAACTTTTAAGTCGGCTTCTTTAAGCTTTTAATCAATTACTTCTTCCTTGCAAGGTAAAATCAAGTCTCATATATCAAGCAAGTCGTTAAGTTCTTTTTCTTACTTTTTACCAATATTATCACTCTAAACTAATTCTATTAAGTTCTATGCTTTTTCTAGTAAACTTTTCCAACGCTGTACAAATTTACTAGTGTTAAAAAAAGCTTTGTTCTAATAGTGAGAGCAGTTTAATTTTGCTGACAGAATTTTCTCAATTTCTATATTTTAACTACGATCCATTTATTAATTATTAAGCATTTTGATTATAAAGCTCTAGTAGACTGTAGGGGGTTTTGGGGTTTTGGGGTTTTGGGG